CGGCGGAGCATTGGTGGCTCAATCACTTACTCGATGAACTGCAGCGTTCTTGCTTCGTAGGCTGCCGAGACAACTCTATACTTCTTTTGACTGCTGGTGCTATCGAGGAGTTATATATCTCTAATATCGCGTGATCTTCAAACCTACCACATCGTTTTTTAGCGCGCGCCAACTATATCCGCCGTCTCAATAGAACCGCCAGCCCTCTCATCGCAAGATGTCAAGCAAAGGTTCCGATATGGCGATAGGTAGAACCCCCTCAGAGAGTTTTGGATATTTTCTTTCGATGAGCTCGCTCTTGCTCACTATTCGCACAAGTCGGGCTTGTGTGTTCGTCAATCCTCAGGTCGCCCTATCTTCAACTCATTTTTATTGAACATTAAACCCACATGATGACAAATTTTCCCAGCCGGCTTGTTGCGCACCCCTGAAGGGCAGCCTGACGCTGCAGTTGCCAGCCAAGAATCAGTAGGAATCGTTTTTAAGTTCTCATCGAAGTGAGTTCTTGGAAAAGAGGAGCACGAACATTAAGCACCATGCCTCTCCAACGATCAAAAAAATATGAGTAAAAATTTACTAGTACTTGAAAAGGGACCAGCCGTACTTTAACGAACTTGTACTAAAGTTATGTGGAAGTTTATTTGAGGGTTTTCAGGGTTGAAAGGTACAATGGATTCTGCGTGAGGAAACATTTTTATGAACATCAATGATAGATTGGCTTGCATCTTTCCTCTTAAACATGAACTTCCAGGTTTTTATGTTAACGCAAAGCGGTAATTTCCGTTGCAGTGGTTACTCAATTCAATAGGGGAGAATTTGGAATCATTTTTTAGTAGTATGCTTTAAAACTGATAATAAAGGATTGACCAGTTTTTATAATTTTTTCTTCATCGTCACTACAGGGCTCTGTGTATAGATTTGCGAGCACATTATTTGTTGGTCACGTCTTTGGTTACGTTTCATTTTCGCTAAAGTCATAACACACGATTTGTATATTTTGACATAAAACTGTTGAGAGTATTCTTTGCTCTCCTTCGTTTCGAACCACTATTATTTGAAACTCTACTTACTTCTACGGAAATCTGGGCTAGTGACCAACGATTTAGAAATCTTGTGAAATGCTTATGAATCAGATCATTTTCAAATAAGCCCTTCAATAACTTTCAGAACAGGTAATATTGTTCATTGAACAATATAATAATTGGTAGCACTTTTAGCAACCGATGGGAGCGATCCAACGCCCACGTGGGCTCCGTCTGACTCTTGTACGACTGACTCATTCGCCAATATAAAGGTCCCTCCGATACTCAACACCTCCGATCAGACTTATGTATAAATTTTCAATGATTTTTCTCCTTATAAGTCCAGGGTAGAACGAAAAGAGAGTACATGCCTCAAATGAGAAATTTTCTTAGGCACAACATGATTGTGGCATAGCAGTGATTTTGGATCTAGATCGAACTTATACGTCAGTGGAAGATTTCTCTAATGTTCGGCTATTCATTCGAGATACTATCACAGCATGCATGTCCAGGGGCATCGGCTACAGAACATACGTTTATCCAATGTTCAATTCGGTCAGTCCTTACTTCTACCGTATGGAAACATCTAGACACCTTAATAAATTTTTCTAAAAATTTATTGATATAAAATGCAACAAAATCAAGTGAGACTCTTAATTTCCGTTGCAAAAATCAAAGCTAACCAATGA